CAGTGTTGGATTTGCGGTCAGGTTATTGGCAGCTGCCTATAAAAGAGAGCGATCGAAGCAAGACAGCATTTACCATACGTGATAAACAATATCAATTTAGATGAATGCCGTTTGGATTGGCGGGTGCACCATTTACGTTCAGAAGATTAATGTTGCTACTGCTCAGGGATCTAGATAATGTCGAAGTGTATGGCGACGATGTAGTTGTATACAGCCGAACAGAAACAAATCATGTCAAGCGTGTGGAAGCGGTCTTAAAGCGAATTGAAGAATTCTGACTTCGAATTAATAAGGACAAGTCACAAATGACGAAAAGTAGCATCACGTTGTTGGGGCATAAAGTGGGAAATGGAGAAATAAAACCACTGCCGGAGAAAATGCTGACCATAAAGAACGTTGCAGTACCGAATTGTAAAAGAAAATTGAGACAGTTCCTGGGAAGGGTGGCGTTCTACATTCGGTTCATCAAGAATTTCAACGAAATAGCAGCACCCCTTTATAAGTTGTTGAGTAACACTAAATTTTCCTGGACTGAAACCGCCCAACAAACGTTTAATCAAATCAAAAACATGCTGGACGACCGCCAGATCACGCTCAGACTGCCCAAACTGGGGAAACCGTTTACAGTGAACACAGACGCAAGTGATCATGGTATAGGTGCCGTTTTGAGTCAGTCTGATAGAGTGGTGGAATACGCAAGTACCGTTCTCACGCCTGCCGAACAGAAGTATTCAGCGATCGAAAAAGTGTTTAGCGATTGTGTGGGCGGTAGACAAGTGGAGACCATATCTGTTAGGTAAACGATTTCACATCGAGACTGACCATAAACCTCTGCAGTGGCTACAAACAGCACGAGACCACCGTGGGAAGTTGGCACGATGATGATACGTCTGCAGGAGTATGACTTCAGTATCGGGCATGTTCCAGGGAAGGAAAATGTAATGGCGGACTACCTGTCAAGACCAGACATGGAAGCCGAGCTTCCATTGACAGCATACGCAGTGAACAGTATAGAGGGAGACCCACTAGAACTCGTCCGGCAACAGAAATCTGATCCTAAACTGCGAGAGGTAATCAGAGTGATAAGAGAGGGGGCAGATTTTGACAAACGAGCAATGGACAAGGAGGCAATAATGTTGCTTCGGCAAAAGGAAAGACTGAAAGTGAACACATATGGAGCTCTGGTCTGGCAGGATGATGACAAAAATTGGGTGGCTGTGATCCCGAAAGACTGGCGGCGTAAGATGATACACGAATGCCATCAGGTAGCGCACACAGGTATCGCAAGAACGACAGATTTACTACGGCAAAGTGCATACTGGTCAGGCATGAGAGACGATGTGGCCCAATTTGTGTTGACGTGCCAGCAGTGCCAATTAATGAAAAGCGATAGATACATGCAACCGCCATTGCAGTCGGTCCCAGTAACCGCAGTCGGCGATCTATGGTCGGTAGATGTGATGAGACCATTTCCACAGACGGATAGCGGCAACCGATACTTACTAGTAATGACGGAACATGCTACACGATGGGTCGACGCTGTACCGATTGCAGACCAGCGGGCGAAAACAGTGACCGAAGTAATAATCCGGCACATTGTAGCAGGTCATGGAGTACCGAAGATGATATTAAGCGACCAGGGTCCCTGTTTTGAAAGTGACGAGTTTAAGGCCAGTTTAAAGCAGTTTGGCATCAAGAGGATACGAACTACACCGTATCACCCTCAGACGAACGGGCTTACAAAAAGAAACAACCGGACATTAAAGGAATGGTTAGCATCTAAAGGAGGGAATTGGGAGAAAGAGTTACCACTAATTTTGCTGGCGCATTATGCCTCCATCCAAGGAACAACCAAGAAATTCACCTTTCCTACTTATGTATGGTAGACAGTCAGGACTTCCGATGCGTAATAAGACGTGGCCACAGAGCAGAAGTAGACAGCAACAAGATTAAGGAAAGAGAGGACGGAGGCAGTAGAGAATGTGAAAAAGAAACAAATATCAGACATCAAGAAGGCGGAACAGCAGAGAAGAGCGTGGAAGCCTTTTAGAGTGGGGTACCTGGTAAAGTGTAGAGAACGGAGAGCTAACACTGAAGGGGGACCAGGGTCAGGAAAGCTGATCCCGAAATGGGAGGGACTGTACATTATCACGGAGAGACGCGGCCCAGTTTACTCGATCCGGAGAGAAGACAAGCAGAAGCGTGTAAATGCCAGTCAACTACAGAGACGGTTTTAAAAACATCATGAGCACGAATCACGAACAGCACCAAAGGAGACAATGGTACGTCAATCAGAAATATTGCGAGAACAGCTTATTAAAAGGTGGGACGAGTGTGATGTGAGCTACTGATATCGACATAAGTAGTATATATGGTGAGTAAGGAATAGAATATCTGACAGCAGAAGATTAAGAAGATCAAAGAGAGAAGAACAGAAATAAAAAGCAATTTGTGTGGAAATCCAGAAACAATGAAGCCTGAGGCAATTGAAGAACATTTTGCAAATAGTGTATCATAGCATGGTTTTTGTATTTTACCAAGTAATGTTGTCATTTGTGTTAAATACATAGTTGGTTGTCCACACCTGCGTTCTCATTCACAACATGGCTGGTGAACGTAGGAGCTGTGTCTCACGTTGATCCGTGACGTGATCTGGTACGGATGCATGACCGAAAGCCTTCAGTTAAACAAGTCCACTTTAAACAATGTAGTCTTTGACCTTGACAAAGATCGATGATCTGTTCAATATTCAGTGACATTTCACTGACCCTACATCATCCAATGTCGAACACTTAGAAAGCTATTGATTTTGGGGTATTATTTACAGCTACACGTTGATGGAATCTAAAAATGCAACATTTGTAAGCATATACAGCTGATTTTTCCCATGGATAAATTCAAGGAAGACGTGAGACCTGCAGTGACGTTACGTAGATTTTGAAAAGAGAAGAAATGGCTGTCACTGTAAATATTTATTCTAATTGTCTTTTTTCTTAAATAACTGACCTACTAGTATTTCAGTCTTGTGAGCTCATTAGACAAGTAATAACAATTCTCATTGCCTTAAGTTATCTACAAGGAAGTTACTTCATGTAAAATGATATTTTGCCACGTTGTTCCACTATCATGTACTGAACAAACTACTACTAAACACTAACAGCCTATCTCACGAAAAAGAAGAAAATTTGTAGTTCAGAGCTAAGAAATAATTACACTAGACAATACTTAACTCGTACCCTGAAACACCTGTATTAACTTTATCAACCATGTTGTGTTTTGACTCTTTTCAAATTACTAATAAAGTAAAACAAGAATTATATGTTATTGTGATGGAGAATTATGCTCTGTAAATCAGAGAAGGATGAAATAAAATAAGTGGTTTGGTATGTCTACATAAGAAATCACGGCAACGTTTTCTGATTGAACAATTTGCTGACATTTTAAAATATGTCTGTGTTATCGATGATCGAAGGAATTGTATACGAAGTGATGAAGTTCCTGAAATCAGGAAATGCTGATGAAGCTAAGGAATCGTATGTTTTTGTGTTTCACATTTGTAGACACTTTTTGGAGCTATTAGTCAAGAAGCCAGAAGAATTTAGTACGTAAGACTTCAAAAGTATTGAAACAAGCTAAACTCGTTTATCAGTGAATTTTCTATGTGTACATACCTGAAACTCTGTAAATTCATCTTTGTTATATCGGTCATCTTTGATAACTTATTGAATATTTAAACGAAATTGAGTCTTGTAAAAGTGCTAAACAGTTATTAAAACCAATTATTCATAGACAAGCTGAAATATGTACGAACACATGGGCCTGGAAAATTTAGTATTTTTTTTACTGAAAAATGTTATCTGTTTTTAGGATGTTGGAATCGTTGTATAAGGTTTAGAAACTGAGTAAATATACAAAATATAAATAGTAAGTTTTAATTTCAGTGTGGAAAGGATAGGAGTCTGGATAGCCTATGCAAGTAAAACAATGGTAAATTTTAGGTTACTTTAACTCTTTTTTGAACGCATCAAAAGATGGGCATTTAAGCACGCGCAGAGGGTAACCAGTTCCACTTGTTGATGTTTGATGGGAAAGTGGAATATTAAGTTTCAGGTTCAATTTCAGTTTGGAAAGGACAGGAGGCTTGATGGCCTGTGTTAGTCCTGGCAATGATAGTCTCTCAGCTGATCCAACTTTCTTTTGAAGGAGTCGACGGATGGAGCCTCAACCACATGCTGAGGTAATGAACTCCATCGTTGATTATTCGATGGGAAAGTCGGTAGTCAGCTGACAAGTAATTCGTTCTGAGCTTGTGAACTTTTTTGGAGTGTCCTCGTAGATTTTCTGTTTTGAAAGACAAGAAAAATGAGGGCATATTAAGTGCAATTTATCACTAAGCAATTTGAAGACTGTCATCAAGTCGCCTCTGATTCTCCGATATGACAGCGGGAATAGGTTTAGCTTGGTCAGTCTAGTACCATACGGGAGCTTCGCTATTCCGGGAATCATCTTAGTTGCTGTTCTCTGAACCCTTTCCAAGAGTTCAATGTCCTTTTTTAGGCAGGGGCTAGCTGCTTGTATGCAGTACTCAAGTTTAGGGCGTACGAACACTGTATACAAAGTCAGAAACGTTTTAGCGTCGAGATGACTAAAAGCCCTGCGTATGGACCATGAAGTCCTAAAACCTTTGGCGGCTATTGCACGGCAGTGTGCAGTAGTCTTTAAGTCTTGACTAACGATGACGCCTAAGTCATCGTGTGCCTGAACAATAGGTAACTCACTGTTATTCATCGTGTATGTATCTGTTCCCTGGTGGCCAACATGCATCACAATACACTTGGAAGTGTTTATCGGCAATTGCCAGGTTTGAGACCATTCAGATAATCTCTCCAAATCGTTTTGAAGTTCTAAGCTATCGCCCTTGCTTTGTATCGCTCTCCATATCTTGACATCGTCAGCATAGAGTAAGACCGATGACGATAGTAGACGAGGGAGATCATTTACGTACAGGAGGAATAACACTGGCCTGCGAATTTTAAGCCAAGTGAAGATGAAATCAAAAGGGCTGACACTTTGTTTGATTTTCACAGCTCTTGAAAGAATGTGTAAACAAGTCTGTGAACCTAAGAAAATATTACATCGAGACTAATTCAAGTAACTAAGAAGACTAAGATTTCTAATAACTTTATGTGCACCAAACGAACGTTGATTGATAGATTCTTATAAGACTCTAACTGCTTTTTTCTACCTATGTATAATTGCTGTTCATAGATAGTGCCAGAAACGACCAAACCATTTCCAAGTGAAGCCTAGTAGAATAAAACAAAACTTACATATTAGCCACACTATCAACATTAGCTACGTTTTAGTCACATGACGTCTCGTTCACTAACATTGCTTCTCTTTTTTAAAAACATTAAAGCACGCCTTGTGGTTATTTTGAAAATGGCCCACGAAGCTGTACGAGAGGACAAATTCATAACAAAACGGTACACGGACAGCTATTTCACAATAATTATCTAGATCCATATATTACTCAAACCCCATTTTATTTAAACGACAATCCATTATAGACCCACTGTTGTCAAAGATTTGTAAGGAGCTTAGCCTCCCTCGGTGTGCTCTTAAAATAGTAAGATAGCATATCTTAATAACATTTTTTCTCTAGAACGCCTCTTCCAAATTGATTGTTTATGGTGATATTTATCTAGGAATTGGGTATGAAAGCGACGTCATTAAAAGAAATAATTTGGTAAGATCATTATAATCTGACATATTTTGCAATGTCGATTTTTTTCCTGTAGTTCAAAAAAAGTATCAATGGGAAAGCGAAAATACAGTCATTTTACTTACAACTGTCCACCAAAACTATTGGCTTGAAGTTTCTGTTTAATATTTTCCGAAATCGTTCAGTTAAGATTACAGACGTTTAGAACTTATGCAAAAATAGTGTGCATTTACTGGAATATAAAAACTACATTAATTAATCAGAGATGGACAATGGCTAGCAGTGGAATCCAGGACGCGCGTTTCGTCCCATTTGGGACTCGTCAGCTGGATGTACCTGCATCTCAGAGAGACTGACCAGTTGCAGTCCTAAACACATCGATGGGAAGATCCAAACAAACAATACTAAGTGAATACATTAATTAATGTTTAGAGCTTTCGGTTTTAGTTTCATTGGGTTTACATGTCTTACTTCATAATCGTCACTTATTTTGGAGAAACAGCTGACAAATTAATATAGCCGCAGGACAGTCTGAATGTTCGTTGCTAATACGGTAAACTTTTTCAGTGTGTGCACCCAGAAATCTACTCAAACATTTCGATTTTCATAAAGCGAAAGTTTTTGTCAAACAACTATTCCTCTATATATTCTCACGAAGTATGGAACAGGCTATGGTATTTGCATTTTAACGGTAATTTATGATAAAGTAATTAAACTTACAGGTGATGTAATAGAGATGGCTAAAAATTTTAAATAGGTCCAATTATATACTGCTAGGATATATTATGAATAGTAGTGAAACATCTGGCGTCCATAACTGAAGTGGCCACTTACCACACTCACAGATGCATCTAAATTGCAGATGGACTTTGATCTAGGTCATGAAAACCTTAGTAAAATGGGAAGTTTTAGTTATGGAACGAACCGGCTAATTCCTTTGGTTTTATTACACACTGTGTGCTCAGGAATGGAATAACTACATTTGAGTATCAATCATTATGTTCACTGAAACTTAGTATACAAAAGTTCATTTCAAGAAAATATCAACAAAATCTTGTAGCACTTCTTGTTGAGTAACTCCGCCTGTATCTCTCCTAAGGCTACTGCCAGTCCCAAGCCCGAGTACAGGAAGAGGATTGAGCATGGGGTCAGCAGCCCCATTCCTTAGAAAATAACTTTGCTAAAAATCCGCTGGCCAGAATAAACAAATTAAACTATTAATACTCTGCCCTCTGAGTTAAACTATCTTCATTCAGAAGAATTTTGACGCCTCAGGATGAAAGCCGAGATTCTTCGGAAGTCACAAGGCCGATGCCCTTTTTAACAACCAGAACAACAACTAATATAGGTATATGGAACGACAGGACAATGTGGTGGAACTGGCAGACTAACTAAATAGCTGCCGAAAGGAGGAGATACAAGTTGATGGAGCTTGGAATCAGTGGAACCAATTGGGCTCAAGCTGGACAGAAAAGGATAGAATCAGGAGAGATGCTGCTGTACTCCAGTCACTAAGAGAAAATGCTCAACATACTCAGAGAGTTACTTTGATGCTGTCCAAAGAAGCACGTAAAACACTTATAGGATGGGAATCTCATGGACCCAGGACCATCAAGGATTCGCAAAGCAAAGATAGCATTCATACAATCGAAGGGCATATGGAACTCAAAACAACTTTCAACTAATATCAAAGTTAAATATTCAATACGAACGTCAAGACAGTTCGACTGTACGGAGCTGAAACTTAGATAACCACTACAAGCATCATCTAAGAAGTATAAGTATTTATAAACAATTGTCTACTCAAAATATTCGTTGCCTGGATACCATTAGTAACAGCCTATTGTGGAAGAGAACTAAACCGGGTTCCATCTGAAGAGGAAATTAGGAAAAGACGTTGAAAGTGGATAGGAAACAGATTATGGAAATCATCAAACTGCATCCCGAGGCAAGCGCTAACTTGGAATCGTGAAGGGAAACATAAAAGAGGAAGTCTGAAGAACACACTAAGTCGGTAGTTTTAAGCTGACATGAAAAGGATGAACTGCAACTGGAAAAAAATATGCAGGACATAATTGGATGAAGAATGCTGTTGGGCAACCTATGCTCCTTCACAAGGGGTAACAGGCGTAAATCTTGTTGAACCCTTCATTGTCTCCCTACGCACTCACTAATCCAAGTGGATCCCTATTTCATACCAACTCAGTTTCTTGCACATAGGTACTGTAGCGTTAATAGAGCACAATGTGGAGTTACTTTTTCGTTGGTGAGTAACAATCTAGTTTGAAATCCATGTCTAAACCTGTTCAGACTTTTTCAGCTAAAGGAATTCGAACCTCATAATATTAGCGTTCTTACTAAGACTACAATCTAACAGTTATTTATTCAAATACCTGAATGTTAACCAGTAAACTTAAAAATTAACAGATATATTGTCTACAGTGCAGATACCACCTCTCAATTTTTTGGATATTATAGACTACAGCTGAAGCGAAGCGTGAGGCATTCAGATCTAACAAAAAGCAATTACCTTACGAAATTCAGTTTCAGGACTGATTAATTGGTTAGGTGTCTTTGGAAATCTTTGTAACTAGAAATGACATACAACTTTTTAACAAGTTATCTTCATTATTCGTTTCTTTTTATTTGCAGGGTATACCTGAAAGTTTGTTTAAAAGTGGATATGAGGTTATTATCTCAGGTAGATTACTGTTCTAAGTCATCTATGTACCTGTCAACCGGATATACAGAATGTTTGCCTCAATTTATTTTGATAATTGAAAAGGACACGATTTTTCGGAAACTTTTAAATGAGAAGTTCTACGAAAAATTCAAACCTTGTTTATTGGTTACGGTAAACCAGATAATCTTTTTCTATTAAAAATTGTCATTTAAAACAGGCTAAAGGTTATCCAGACTTGATAACTCGAAAATTTCTTGCTCAAATAAACTGCAAACATCCAAATATTCCAATAATTGGACTTTTTGATGCTGATCCTCATGGTATGGCAAATAAAACGATGTAACATCTTTCGTTTCATAGGTATAAATGTATTCTGTACTTACAAGTATGGTACTATGGTAAGCATGAAACTATTATTCCTTAACTGTTGATTGATGTTTGAGGGTGACGGATTGCATGAAAGTGAAAATTTGACAAGAAACAAGTTTGGCTATATACATATATGGCTTTAGGATTCGGAAAATTATATATTGTTGTATAGATATGTAGTAAACAGCTATTGTAGTATTTTAAAACAGATATTCCTAATACCATTGTCAATCGTTAAGACAATGAATATAAATGTTGGACAATTTACTATTGAGTATATAGAAATGGAAAATTTAAACTTTGTATACTCACATGCCTGCATTAGGACTGATTTCAATAAAAAAAAACTAATTTAATAGTGGGAAAAATCTTCATACATATTGCGAACGGAGGTAAAGAACAATAAATGCTTTCTGACTACATTGTTTCAGTGAAATCATGACTATGCACACTTTTAGGCCTAATAATTTGATGTGAGCACTCCTATAGATGGTGAGGAAGATTTGTAGTTCAGGTGAAGTTCTGTTCTCCGAGCTGAATGGTTTGGTTGTGGAGCTTTCATTGTTCTTATGAACAACAAAATTACCTCGATCAATCCTATGCGAACCAAGGGATGAAATGACAAAAGAAGAAAAACCGAACATCATTTACAGAATAAACCGTTACAGCTGCGACAAACACTACATCGAAGTGGATGCCCCATTCATCTGTGCCTGCATGAACATCAATTAGTGATCAAACGCTATGACATCTTCGTTTATATGAGTGCGTGTGGAGATACATCCTACGGGAAAAATGTTGAGATCTTGGATAGATGGGATACTAAAAGTACCAGAGAATTTTTAGAAGGTTGGCACTCAGGTCAATTAGCCATTATCAAACACATCGAAATCGATCCAATCTATCAATCAGAAGAATCATGGACAAATATAAGACCAAAAATCAGATAGAAGGGAGGTACAATCAAGATAAAAATATTGACAACGACAGGTTAGATGTCAACAATAACCAATCAAGATTGAGGTTGACAAGACAAGTTGCGAGTCATATGTGGAGAAATTAGAATACGTCACTTCTATATGAATTTTGTACTGATGTTGTTCGGAAGCACAATGAAAGCTTTACGACTTAACCATCCAGCTCAGAGAAAAAACTCCATTTAAGTTCCTAGAGAACATTTGCAAAACAAAAAATTCCGATCATAAAACCCACGACATAACTATTCCAAATTTCTTACATTCGATTTCAATCTGCTGATGAGAACCCATCACTTTAAGAAATAAATTTTTTTCTTACGCCTTCTTGTATGACTTCTAACTTTTCTTTGCATATTGTTAGTATTTAGGATTTAATGGATTCGAAGTCCAAAATTTTTAATGAATAAAAATATATGTTATTGAGTAACCTTGTAACCTAGTGCCCCAAATGCCCTGGTACGGACGAGTGGGGAGAGTCCGATCTCTCTCTCGAAATGCTCTCACATGGCCACGCATATATAGCCTCTGTCAGGAAAGTCCTACTCACTGCCTTCTCGTGGTATTACTGTTGTTTACGAAATTGAGAGGACGAAAAGCGAATGTCCGGCGCACTAACCGGATTGGTGGACACGGAAAGTTCACCTAGGGGAGTTGGAAAACCCTGATTACAAATCAATGGTGTACATGGGTTCCAGTATCCTGATGGAACAAATGGCGTATTAATCAATCGTTGATCACCGGCTACCATGGGGCTGCATCTCCTTACGATACTCCACTGCCTTGTGGATCAATTTTTTAGGTCAAAGATTCTGGGTGTTGCTCCGTAAGAAAACCATCTGCTTCAGTTTAGGAAGCTGGTCAGTATCACAGCTCTCACACAAATCAAATGAGATTTGTGTGGCGCATATTTATCTGGTGCTTTCTTTGTACCAATATTTATGTGTTTAAATAAAAATTGTAACCTAGTTACTCTAAGTTTTAGTAAATTAAAGTATCTGCGCAACCAAATTTACATTTAAGTAGTTAACATTGAGATGTAGCTTATGCATGAACACTATTTATTTATTTAAACACATATACATATATATTGGTACAAAAGGGCACCAGGTACATATGCGCCACACAAAATAATGAAAGTAGGAAGAGAAGGGATGAAAAGATAAGGCGGACTGAAATGTACAACCAGAAGACTCTTTCAGTTAAGAAAGTTAGAACCACTCTTTATGTAGAAAGTAAAAGAAGGTTGCAGCAGGATCGCCACTGGCTTCTATTCTGAGCCATATCTGATAACGTCTCTAGCCACTGTGTTGCACCATCTCTCGGACCCCAGCCAGGGAGTCGTGAAGGACCAACGGAAGCTAGCCCTTTGCAGCTTTCTTTCATGCCACGACAATGAAATGATGAACTCTATGCATGAACACTGGTAATATTATACTACTTTCCAGCTAGAAAAAGCTTGGATCGGGTACTTTGTAGCTTAAATGAAAGTGCCTGAAGTATTAAGCCACCCATCTGGAGTTCTAATAATTTGTTGCATATAGAGAATAAGATGAGCATTTCAATGTTATCTATTCAGATAAATCCGCCAACAGAGTATCGAAAAAACAAGAATTTTTGATCCAATACATCATAGATTTTAGTGGTCGGTGTATTGTGTGCTGATAATTAGAAATTAACCAAACATTTTACTACAGATTTGTGTACCAATCTTGAGTACAAGTGAAAAATCTAATTCAAAATAAGATGTACAGTAATAAACGTGATTCCAGGAATAAAAGTATTTAGTTGAGTAACACTGATTTATTTATTCAAACACATATATATTGGTACAAAGAAAGCACCAGATATATATGTATTGCACAAATCTTATTTGGTTTGTGTGAGAGCTGTGATACTGCCCAGGTGCCAAAACTGAAGCAGGTGGTTTTCTAAGATGGCTACACCACGAGCCTTTGACCTAAAGGTCTGATCCACAAGGCAGTGGAGCATCGTAAGGAGATGCAGCCCCATGGTAGACGGTGACCAACAATTGGTTCATACGCCATTTGTTCCATCAGGATACTGGAGCCCATGTACACCATTGGTTTGTAATCAGGGTTTTCAAACTGCTCTAGGTGGATCCTCCACATCCACCAACCCGGTTAAAGCGCCAGACATTCCTTTGTCTTCCTCTCAATCTTGTAAAAAACACTCTCGCCACAAGAAGGCAGTGAGTAGGACTTTCCTGATAGAGGCTATATACGCGTGGTCATATGAGAGCTTTTCGAGAGTGAGAGCGGACTCTCCACACTCTCAGTTATACCAGGGCATTTGAGGGCCATAACTTTGAACTCAAAATAATATCAAATAAATCATATAGCTTTTTTATATTCATTTAGAATCCTATGATGCAAAATGAAAATGGTAATCCAATTAGTATACCTAATCTTCAACTATGTGGATTATTACCAACTGAAATATCATCGTAAGTTTTAAAATATACACATTTTAAAAAAAAATTATTCATTCATTTAAAGTTTTCAAATCAATGAAACCGATTTATTGAAATTAAATAAAAGAGATAAATCTTTATTAAATACAATGTTAAAACGTTCAACTATTCAAAATGAATCTATATTATTAAAACAAGTAAATTATCATCATCATCATAATAATAGATGATTTAATTCATAGATAAATTATTTATTATTTACAGAAATGAAAGCTCAATTAGAAATTTTAAATACAATTCATTCTAATTATTTAACTAATGAATATTTACCAAATAAATTAAAATTATTATTAGGTATTTTACCTAATAAATAAATAAATAACCACCATCCCCCCCCTTAAAAAAAATTAAAAAATAATTCAAATACAAATTATTTTTTTTTTTAAATATTGTATAAAAGGGATATAATTTGAAAGGGGTACTGTTATGACGTGTGGACTCGTAATAATATGGACGTGCAATTGGAGAGGAATGAACTTATTGATCGGAGGCAAATGATACTTGAAATTGTACAAGCAGTCTTGATTGCGTATCGGCCCTGCTATCTGCCTAGCCCAGCCAGTTGAGTCCAGAACACAAATAACAGCCTCGGCAATATAAATCATTATTCTCAAACATACTGAGTTTATATACCAACCACACAGATCACATTGTACCATAAAATAGAAAATAACATTTTTACAAGATTTGGCCAAATGTGGCTGTGAATAAGGGGAACAGTAATTAATGGACTAGGGATAACTCAATAATGGTAAATTGTATAATAATAGTCTATAGATCAAAATAAAGCTTATCATAAGGTGAACATTAATATGAATACTTAAGTTACCTAACAATTATATAATGGGAAATATATGTATCATATTCGTCCATGAATAGTTCTCAAAGTTACCATTCATGATTCTCTTCGGGATATAGCAATACGTATATGTTAGACCATAGGAATATAGAAGTTTCAAAACAAGTATCAGAAAGATTTATTATGATGAAGTTTTTACCAGTTAATTGGATGGTTTTGTGAAAATCCTGTTTACTTTGAAGCTAGTTTTTTTTTGAAAATGAATTTTACAACAGTTCGAATCAGTATAAGTGCGTACTGTTTAAGGGTGAACAACTAAGTAGATGTTCAATGTTTTCTAGTTCTATTCGATTGTTGAACGGATTTCAGTCGGTAATGAAAACTGCTTTTAGAGACTTTTTTAATTATGATGAAATGTAACTCCTACATAATATGAACGAATCTATTCATTGTTTGAATTCTTGATACCGAGCATTATCTTAGTGAACAGGAACATATGCATATGGCTAAACGTCTTAGTTAAAGTAGTAGATCTACTGATGTTGTAAATTGTATACCTACATTAAATTAATGACAAAGTAATACCAACACTGATTGTCATTTTATTACTTTCACATCTGTCTATCGACTGAACATTTAAAATTGTATGTATTCATTTTATAGTTTAATATGGTATAGATCTAGTGTAAATCATTGTTTAATTCATAAACATATATTTATTTGCAATCTTGTATTATTTTTGCCCCCAAATGCCCTGGTACGGCCGAGAATGGGAGGAGATAGCTCTGCTTCTCCAAACGATCTCGCATGGCCACGCACATACTATCACTTCCAGGGAAGTCCTAATAACTGCCTTCTCGTGGCAGGGGTACTATTTACGAAATTAGGAGGACGAAAAGCGAATGTCCGGCACACTAACCGGATTGGTGGACACGGAAAGTCCACCTGGGGGAGTTGGAAAACCTTGATTCTAAACCAATGGTGCAAATCAGCTCCAGTATCCTGAAGGAACAAATGGCGTATGAATCAATTATTGGTCACCGGCAACTATGGGATGGTGTGGCGCATATATATCTGGTGTCCCCTTGTACCAATATTTATGTCCTCAAATAAATAAATAATCATGGAACTGCATCTCCTGAGGTTGCTCCACCGCCTTGTAGATTAAACCTTTAGGGCAAAGACTACGGATGTGGGCCCCTATGAAAGTCACCTACTTCGATCTGAACAACCGGGCAGTATCACAGCCCTCACACAAGTTGAATGATTTATGTGGCGCATATCTATTTGGTGCCTCCTTGTAACAATGTTTATGTGTTTAAATAAAATAAATAAATAATAAGTATTTTTTGAATAGAGTCATATCAGTCAGATTCTGTAGGACAAGTAGCATCTTCTCCACAGTCATAGTACCAATAAATAAAGAACAAATATCGTAATAGGATAACATGAGCCGGCATTCGAAGGTGTTAGACATTAACACCGTTGAATGTCGACAGAGTTGTCTAGAAGTTAAGTGTTCGTGCACGAGATCGATAGGTCCTGGGTTCGAATCTTGCGGGGCGGAATCGTGAATGCGCACTGCTGAGGAGTCCCACACTAGAACGAAAAGACCATCCAGTGCTTCCAGATTTTCCATGGTGGTCTAGCTTCAGTTGACTCCATGATTTCAACCATAAAATTATTAAAATCTCCACAAAACCCCCTTCTGAGAATAACATGAATTCATTAGTTTCTTGAATTCTCCTCAGATGCTTACAATCTAAAACGATTGTATTAGTAACATTTAGAATAAATCGAATTGATATATGAAGATAAAATAATATTAAAAGAAAATAATACAGAAGAATTAGCAATATTCAAACATTTGCTTATTCATTTATTTAACTGGGACTAGTTTTTAATAATCAATACAATCATTTTAGATTGTAAACAACTGAAGAGAATCTGTCAAACAAATGAACCCATGTCATTCAGTAATCATAACAGACAATCATACTATGAGTAATATAAACATTCCAACAAGATATCAGACCTCTAATATCATAAAGCTTATAGCAACATATTAACTAACAAAAAAAGGAACAATTGGTTTAAACGAAATATGTAGTTTTAATCTTTATTTTAATGTACAGATTTTATTAACGAAAAGTTGAATCGAATTTGATTGGATAAATATAAAATTTAAGTTATATTTGAAATGAGGGAATTGTTGATAGCGCCCATAACGTTTGAAGATGTTTTAAATAAACATGGAATTACTTAGTATATAGGTTAAATCCTACTAAACACATGTTTGGTGATAGCTACTCAGTGAAGAAAATAAAAACCCATTTAAGTCTAACAATAAAGATTACTGATAACAAGAATGAATAAAAGATGAGTTTAAGTTGTTTGGAAGTAATCAGAATAAAAAAAACAAACATCACAATTAAGATGTCTTCGATGTAACTAACCGGTAAGATTGATATATTAACATTGATTGGCCGCTGATTAGTAACCATGGAATAAACAATGCTGATCGAATACTACCAATCAAGTTCCAGTGTAGACACGTTTCTCCGTTACACGACATCTTAATGTGCTATGATGTATGGTATGAATAGAAACATTTTGGTAACAATGATTAATTAAGGTCTAAATTACACTGGAGAAGATCAACCTCCTTAATATTACAGATAAATCTTGACGACGAGTGTTAACACTATTACGAAACGCCAGTTTGGTACTACGATATGTTGATTCACTTAAACTAGTGTAAAAGCTGAACCACCTCCAACCACAATCTTATCTCAACATAGTGTACACAGTGTCGGGCCACCTAGACTAGTGGCTACATTGCAATTTGATCGATAACATTCGATCAGAATTAAGAAGGACTTGACACACATGACATTGATCACCACCCAGTGATTAATCAATTGTGAAAAGCTGGAAAATATCATCTATAAAATCTGGTCAGAACACTAACAACTAGATCATATCACTGACTAGTTGTTATAAATGAACGGTTTAGTTCAAGCAAATTTTGTCAGCCATCCTCTTCACATTATCATGCAAGAAAATTCAAAAGTCACTTGAAATGAAATAAAAATTTCATCGTCCTCATCATCATAAACTGTTGACAGACAATGTACATTGATCAGAAAAAAAACTAGGATGCGAGGGATGATAATAACAACAACAAAAATAGCCGTTTAAAATTTATTAAATAGACTATCTTTAATTAATTGACCAGTTAAAGCATGTAATTGTTCCATAGCTAGTTTAGTTGCATCTTTACTGCATTTGGCAAGACGATCTTCTAATCGATCATTATCCCAATTCATACGAGACATCTGGAATAATAAAAAGTAATTGTACGGAATATTAATGATGCCAAAATGTAAGAGAAAGAAAAAAACGAGAAAGAGAGAGTAGAAGACTCAACAAATAGAAAGGACAACGGAATAATAATACCAATTTCTTTTATTCCGACACAAGTTTTATCCCAGCAATGGAGCTCAGAGGTTATGGCGTTCGAATTTCGGCCAATTAGTCAACAAGTAGAAGGTTGGAATCCCAATCTACCAACTTCGGTTCGGACAACCCTAACAGGGTTGTCCAAATTAGTCCTAACAGTGAGAGTGTGACTTGAAGTCAGACACCCAACTATATACATAGTAAATGAATGATCAATTCAATTTATTCCGATATGTATAATTACAGCGATCTAAGGATAATCGACTCTCAACTCATTTACTTGTGATTCTTCAGTTTCGGCAACAAGTTTATCAATGGTTACTAAGTCTAAACGAATTTCTTACTTCTACAAGTGAATTGAATTATATCCTATGAATCATCTGGAGGGAATTCTACATTTCTTATTTTTTTGTTAAACTATTTCTCCTTTCAATTATGTGTTTTTTTAATACCCTTGATAGTATAATGACTTTGAATCTTCTGATTCTTAATGTGTTAATTTCCTACATTGATGTAAAGTAGGACAACTTGAACTGAAATATTTGCACTAGATACTGTATAGTTTATTACTAATTTTAATAAAACAAAACAAAAGATTTGCTTATTAGTACATGCAATATGATGATATGGTTTCATGCAACGATCGTTTCTGAAGATACGCAATGATTTGACCTATTTATTAGATGATATTTGTGTAGTGAACCAATCGAGCTATACTGGCTGGAACAATCGTTCCTCAAGGTCCTACCATGTCAAGCATGTCGGTTGACGAGCGGTAAGACTAAAAGCAACAAACCCAAGGTCCGAAGGCGAAGTCGTACTGCTGACTGTACAGAGGTGTGACAGCAGTAAGGTGTTTCCTTCAGACAGCCAGCATAACAGCGGTGCTGCCTTCCCATAAGGAAGGTTGGGGTTAGAAAAGGTCGACCCTAAAAATGCACACCTCGCCTTATCCCACGGATATCCGTGTCCGGCGTTAAGGTCCCAACAAGTACGGAGCTACTACAAAAACTTGAAAAATATTTTCTCCATATATAAAGAATTAAAACACAATGAAATTAGTTTGACTTACTGATGATCCAGCATG